AGTAAAATTACGAGTATATTTCGTGAATTTATTATACCTGACATGGCGATGGTGAACATTTCTTTGGRCAACACGAATCCATCTCTTAACTATAAGTATGCGATCAGTTAGTTAATTCTAAGTTCTAACTAYGTATGTTTCTAAAGCTGAAATATTGATTACCTATTGTAAAATACGCGTTGCTATATATTCATAATTTTCATCTAATATTAACTTAATAAATTGTCATTATTCGTTGGTTTCTTTTTATTAGCCAGTGCATATTAACTAAACAAATAAGTAGGTACTAAGAAAAAATAATTAACATATACCGTGTTTCTTATTAAAAATAAAAATAAATTATATTCTTGGATTGWTGTTTTTATATAGGTACCTACTGTTAATGAATTTAATCTACTTTTGCATCTGTTATCTGTATTATCCACTAATTTAAGTAGGTAAACAAACTCGTTATTTAATAAACTTAATTATTTAAAAAAATTATAATATCATCTTAGATTCTGAGCGGAGGGATCAATGTATTGATTTTACAATGCTATTTTAATGCGCAGTGTTATTTTATTTATTTGTATATTATTCATTTTTTTTTTGATGATGAGTTGTCGAAATAATGCTCCGATTTTCAACTTCAGTAAATACATATTGTATTATATAATATACAGAGTGATTCTTTTATCATGAATCACTCATTATTTCAAAAAGTAACAATGTTTTTGAAAATGTTTTTTTTTACAAAGTTTCATGTTGTTAAAAAAACAACGTTTTTATTAAAAAATTATATTTTTAAATTTTTTTAATCCTTATAATTTTTTAAATGTTTTGCTTTTTTGAATGACAACCTAGAGTTTTAATTTCATATTCCAAAGCAGAATATTTTTCTAAGTATTTTGATTCATAAAAATCTAATTTAGGGCGAGTAGTGACGTAGCCAGTAATTATCCATTGGGAGGAGCTTATCTTTTGGCATATCACTAAAATCACTTAACCGTTTGGATTCGTACTTCGTTTTCGTCATAGAACGTTCTATGTATTTGAGGAACCATCACCTGTGTATTATTGTGTTATCACTGCGACACTGCATTATACAATCAAATCTAATGAGTTATGAGAGTATCCTTTGTTTTATAGACCAATGGGGGGTTGAACTCCTAACCCCGCAACCACTTGGCGACACTAGAATTGCCTCCCAAATTGAGGTAGGTAATCTTTTTTCACTCGAATTGCCTCCGAAAACACCCGGAGGCAATTCGAGTATACCCAAACAGTCTACTCGAATCGCCTCCCACAGTAGACCATAGATTATCGATAGTTTTTACTATCGATGATATCGATTATATCGATTTCCATAATTTTCAAAAATATTATTTAAGACATACAGTATTTCCCAGGCAGATTAATTTGCCAAATGCAACAATCTTGTCGATCATTGATTATCAGTTAAAGATTAATCCGTCATCACCGTTCAACATGGTCAGTTTTGTAAATAACAATATTAGGTACACGCAGTKTTATAAAAATGAATGTTATTAGTGTTATTAGTGAAAAAGGCATAACGATTTTAATTTGTGATGGTTTTAAGTTTGATTCCAAAAAAATTTTGCCAATGACGTTAAGCGATGGACGTGTACAAAAAAAAATATGTTCTGCTTATTTAAAAACTGATAAGTATAATGAAATCCAGTTCGAAAATAGTAAATTTATTTATTATAGGTACGTCTTATTATTTATTATTATTACACCTGACTGTCTATTTACTAAAATA